GCATTTGTGTAAAAGGAGAAAAAAGATTTTAGCAAAATGAAGAAAGCTGTAGTGTGGGTGGACCCCACTACACTCAATGTAAGAGCAATCCCCGTTCTAATGCATGATAACTGAGTATAAAATTATGCTTATTTTATTTTGGTATTCCTGAGTATAATCTTAATTCCCTGGAACAGAATTTATTTATTTTTAAGGGACGGAACTTAAAGTAACACATTTGTGTATATGTAAGTAGGCCAAGGCTTCAAGTTTTTACCACGTATCTCTTGAACTAGCTTATTTCCAGATAAATTACTTTTTCTAGTATTCTTGTGTCTAATGATCATCTTTATGGATGGAGTTGATTTAGGCTCAGTTTTAGTGGAAGGAAAAACTCTTTTCCTGCACTAACAAGTGTTTTGTTTTTCACTTTTGTTGTGTTTGAATTAATAATAAAAAGAAAACCCAAATCAAAATCAGTTCTTAAGACGCAGTGATGCTGAAGTATGGTTCAAGTTGATAATTTTTGCATGATGTGCAGATGAGCAGCAACGAAATTATTATTTAGATTGGGAAGTTTAAAGATCAGGGTTTTTCCCACAAACCACATGGCCCAGTGGCAGCAAGGAACCATAAAAATTCTGTTCTTAGGAGCTGTATTCCTTTAACCTAGCTGTAAGTAGCTAAAGGATACTGCCCCTGGTGGTCTTGTCAAGACCTCCACTGGTTCTGCTCCTGGGGCGAGTTGGGCATGTCTAGCTCCCAGGGTGTTCAGAGCAAACTTAGTTGTCATTGTTCAATAGCTCCTGTATCCTGTAGCCCTTCTATTGCAGGATATTATCTGCCTTCTTTTTGCTTTAAAGAAGATGCATTGTCACTGTTGTCATAGAGTCAGGCTTTGAAATAGATTTCACAGTTTTTACGTGTCAAGATGAAGGCTGCAAATTATCTTCACAAGGAGACAAGTGAAGTCTTAAATATTAATACTGTAAGTTTGTTCTGATTTGTCTATGCATCAGAAGTTTAGAGAGTTTTTGTGAGGATTGGAATTACCTCACTGGTAAAAATATGGCACATTTTTTGAAGAAGATGTTTATTTAGAAAGCTTTCTGTGGGATCTGTGCTGCAATGAAATACCTTTCTAGCTATACTTTCCCAGTTAATGATGTATAATGATGACTGAAAAAGTAAAAGATATGCTTATACAACTTCCTCTTCTCAAGCATATTGACCTGCATTTGCAGAGTGATCAGGAGACAAATTATTTGAGGGTTTGTTTGAGTTACTTGAGAATGTTTAGGATTTAAAAGGATACCACTGCAATCTGGGGATTTCTCCAAGTCATCACTGACTTGTGGGTCGCATCAGTGAACACTGTAAGCGCCTTGAGCGGCCTATGACTCCTGATCTCAGGAGCAATGAGGTGGAATTCCTTGTTAAATGGTTTGTGTGATGGGGTGTGGACTGACACCTGTCCACTCTAGCTGTCCAGACATAGCTGGAGACTGGCGTTGCTCTGGAGCAGGTGCTCAAGCATCTCCTTGGTCAACCTCTCAGGAGAGTTCCTTCCCTCCTTAGAGAGTTTAACCGGGAGGTGAATACACTGAAAGTCACAACCAGCCAGCTCACGCAGTCTTATCCTGGCCTTCTGGACCAGATGAGCTACTAGCTCCTGTGGCTGTGTGATGGTTTTGGATCGCTGATGGGACAGAAAACCCCATTCTATGATTAAAAGTGAAACTTTCTGCTCTTCAAACCACTGGAATATCAACCTGTGTATGTGTGGTAACTTTCCTAAAACAGTGAATTGGAAAGGCAGCTCGGGCTGATAACAATGAGCCTGCCTCTTGGACAAAGCTTTCTGCACTTTTTGGAGGGTGGTTTTTGCCTCTGGGGTCAGTTGTCTGGGAGAAGCCGGCTCTCTGTCCCCTCTCAATAAATTGAGGAGGTCCTCACTGGTGAGGCCCACCCAAGGCCTGTCCCAGTTCAAAGACCCACACAGGGAATGGAGGGGTTTGGGATCACTCTAGGGTTTTGGGATCACTCTTAACTGCAAGACAAGTGCCAGACAGGTTTAGCCAGGTATGAGCATATGAATAGAAAAAAGTCTATTTCTGAGGTGAAATGAAGAAGCTTCTATTTCATTTTTGAGCATTGGGTCAGGTGACTCAGAAACAAACAATGATACATCAGGAAGGCAAATTATTATATCAGGCAGCAGCATGTGTTTCCCAGATTAGGCTTCTTGAGCAAAATTAGATTAAGAATTTCTTTCATCATCCTAATTAAAATATTCTGCCCTTTTCATTGTCTTAGGTCATTGTTGATGAACGACAGAGGAGAGCCTTGACTGCTGCTTCCCAAATATAATTAAGTTTGATACTTTTCAGTGGAAGAGGTTATATATTTGCTGAATTTAAAGCAGTTGTAACAGAAGCAGCAACTGCATATTTTGAAAGTTAAACTGTGTTCATGCATATATTAGATTGGATAGGTTGGAATCTTTAATTTAAACTTTTTTTCTTTTAAATTTCCCTTAATTTTCTAGAGTTCTTATGTTTAAGATTTAAGATAACCACAAACCACAAGTAACTTAGATTTCCATGCAAGAGGTCAACTGTATCTAATTAGTGGACTGCTGTTGTGTGTGTGTGTTCAGAATGCTCCTGCTCACTTAGGAGGTAATCTTTGCTCACTGAGTTATCCAGGCAGTTCCCAATAATGCTGTCTGCAGTGTGAGCTGCCTTTTGCACAGACAAAATTCATGCCTGACACAGAATGTTAATATCAGCTTGATATAAAGGGAAAGGTGTAATTTTGCAGTGCAGACACCCTCGAGTTCACTTTGCTAATCAAAACCAGAGGACTCTCCCAGAGTTTCAGTCTCTCTCAGAGTTAGATTTTATCCTGTTTAGATTCAATCCTGTCTGTGATGAAAGTTTAGGAGACCATATGTAAATGTCAGTTGCCAATTTCTTCCATGCACTCTCAAAAGACTGACTACTGACAGCACTGGGCATTTAACATTTGCACTCATGTGTTCTTGAGCAAGCAGTAACTGCATCTCTCTGCCTGTAATGCTATGTTTGAGAAGTGTGGCCTGTGCTTGTAGCAATCCTTATTATATTGCAAATATGCCTTTAGTTTGTTGCCTTATGTACAAATTGTTTTGTGTACTTTTTCCTAGTGTAATATACATTATTTACTCTGTGGTTCTAGCAATATTCTCACAAGCTTACTCTATATGTGTGTAATTTATCACCACATATGATCAGCAAAAATATATACTTGAATTTGAGTGAATTCCTGTTCACTTAGGGGCAAAATAAGACAGCTTACCAACAGAATTTGGAAGGAGTTGATACAAACCTTCAGTTACCATGTGGATAAAAAATGTAGGGACACATGCCATTTCACAGACAATGGCTGATAAACATCGATATGCTTGACAATTTTCTATTAATAACCTTTTCTATTTAAATAATTAAATTCCATGTCAGAGGAAAATTGGTTCTTTTCTTCTGTTACATTTTGCACATTGCTTAATTCTGAACAATAGACTTCGTTTTCACACCTTGCAAATAATATTTACTTTTTGTGTTTACTTTTTAATTTGGACAATGACATTGGATTTGTATTCCTTAGGTTGTTAATATGTGATCTATAAAAACATGGAACATGGCAACCTCCAGACACTCTATGTATAAATAGCTTTTTCATGAGCAGTCAAGCTAAATAGCTTTCTTTTTTTTGGTATGGATTTTTGTTCTTTATCCCAAGTACACCCCTGGTGACCCCAAATGCTGTTTGCTTTCCTGGCTCTATACAACTCCCTTACTGGGCCAATTAAAGCACACCTGTGCCCCATGCTGGTTTGCTATTTGCTAATGTGGGACATCTGACTTTAGGGGCAAAAGGGGTATGACAGAAGTTTGTCTGTTACTCTGTTGCCACAGCACAGCCCAGCCACAAATTTTAATGAAGTTTTTGGGAATCTATTAGGGATAAAGAAGTGAAATACAAAATTTTTTTTTGAACTTTGAATAATAAAAGAGTATAAAAGGCCCTGTAACACAGAGTTGTTCATATGGAGCATGTTGGTGATTTAAGAAAAAAGAAAGAATAGCTGTAATTAATTTCATTATAGTTACATTGAACATTTTGTGAAGCTAGATATTCAAAGAAATAAAGACAGAAAGAAAGAAAGACAGAAATTATCAAATCTGTAAACTTAAATTCTGAAATGGGAAAAAGAAACACTGGCCTTGTAAGCCAGTGACTGTACTTAAATATTCTTTTTTTCCAGTGAAAGTTTTCTGGTCATAGTTCATAGGAAAGTAAACCTTTGAGTTGGGCACAATTTATAAAATGTGTGGTCCAAATTAGCCTAAGAATTGATCTGGAAAACTGAGCCAATGTAAAAATATATACATTAAAAAAATCAGAATTTTTTTTTTACCCCCTCCCTTATTACCTACAAAGAAATCTTAGGTTTTTGGCTCTGCTGTCTCCAGGAATTACAACATGTTTTATTTTTTCCCCCTTCTCAAAACAAAAGAAGGAATTTTAGCTTTGAACTTAAAAGCTCTACTTTGTTTTGAAAATTCTATTTGAGAACTCTGTCAGTCCTCTAAAAGCCAGTATGTGTCTATTTTGCTTTTATAAGTGGTACAATACCATTGAAACAATCAAAACATGAGGTTTAGTATCCAGCAATGGTTTTTGACAAGTTTTTTTAGGTACTTTAACTAAATCTAACTTTAACTAAGTTTTTCTGAGTTGCTGTTTCTTTCTCAAGTGTCCTTGGATACATGTTTTCTACTGTTTCTCATGAATAAATTACTTGCAGTTTTAGCCTGTTCAATGAAATTATAGAATATAAACTAAAAAGAGAAATAGAAAGAGGGGACCTGTCATTCTGAGAGATTTATCTAGGATTTATTGGCGATTTACTTTAGGAAATAATTATGGATTTATTTATTCTTTTTATTTTTAAATTTGTTTTTTATTTCTCTATTTAGATGGAAGATGTCATAGCCCGCATGCAAGATGAGAAAAATGGGATTCCTATTCGGACAGTGAAAAGTTTTCTTTCCAAGATTCCCAGTGTCTTTTCTGGTAAGAGTCAAAGTGAATTTCATACTATTTTAAAGTTTTATGTAAGGGGATGCTCTAGTGGGAAACACTTTTAAATAAGTACTGTTGAGAATTCACAGTCATCTGGTCTGGAGGAGACATTATTTATCCTTTGAATAGTTTAATTATAGAAGACTTTCATGTTTCTCTCAGATTGGAGTAGGTTTACAAAGAGATATTTTTATCTGAAAATTAGGTGAAGGGAATACTTAATTTACTACAAAAAGCGAATTATCTCAAACTGGCAGTATTTTTATGGCAGGTCAGGTCTGGTTTTCAGCCAGCTTCCATAGCAAGTATGAATTTAGTGTATTGGCCAGTACATGAAGGTAAGAAATTTCACAGCAGCAGAACAAAAGAAAAATCATCACCACACTCTGCAAATGGTGCCGATCAGGGGCTGTGACATTTACTACAATGTTCATGACCTGCTTCTGCAGCCCAGTATCTGAGCTTGTGAAACTAAGGCTGAGATCTTTGTGGTGATTTGCAAGACAGCTGTAAACTCTATAGCTGGTCAGGTCAGCACAGTCATAGGCACAAAATTCTGTCTATTTATTAATTAATTAGCATATAGTTACTCTGATATTTACCTAGTTTTATGACAATTTATGCACTTGTGTATGTGGCTATGTACTCCAGTGAGTATTGAGTTCCTTTGAAATAGATGCCATTGTTGAATCTAATTTTTCCGTAATCTGTAAGAGTGTATCCTTATACAGAAAGTGTTATTCAAGTTTCTGTGGTCCAGAACATCAAGAAAAATTCTATATTTTAATTTTCAACCTTTGAAATTTTTTTATAGTGAATAATCCTGTCATAAAGAAGGATAGAGTCGTAAGAGTGAATGAAATGACTTCCTGATTTTAGAAAATTAATTTTAGATTTTAGAAACTTAGACAAAAAATAGCCTCTGGAGAATGGACCTTTATTTTGCCATGAGTTAGTGCAGCATGGCATCTAATTGAAGAATGCATCAAGAATTCATTGTTAATCTCTGCCTTAACTTGTGTATAATAGATTTCAAACTAGACTGACCAGACTGACCAAAATTACTTTTTTTTTCAACTGGAATAGGCATCGTACTTTTAAAGGTTGAGTTAGAATATATATACAGTTATAGCTGTTACTGATATACCAACTTTTCTATCAACTTTATTAGCTTCAGAGGGAAGTAAAAATCACAGGATAGTTCATTTTTTTTTCTCTTTTCTGATTTTCTCTGTCAAATACCAGGGAGTACCAGTAATTTTTGCTACACATGACTGAAACTCCCACCAGAACAGCATAACTGTCATTTCAGTTCAATTATTCTACTTTCCTGTCAGTTCTCCATCCTGAATGGAATCTGAAAGCTTCAACTCTGTCCTAAGTCACTAATTTCATTTAATGTGCTAGGAGTTTGTATATGTAGCAAACAAATACCAGCTTAACTCTAAACTGTTGATTTCTGGGAGACATGGGAATATTGACTAAGGGTCATGACGACAATAATGGAAATATATTTTACAAAAACTTATAGTACTGTTAATACCCTCAAAAGCATCAAAGTAGATATTCTCTAAGTATATATATAGATATATACTTATATGCTCATATATTTTTAATATACATATGTGTGTGTGTGTTGTGTGTGTCTGTGCAAAAGATGTCTTGTACACACCCTCTGTCCTGGACTAAGCCCCATAAATACTGGAGCTTTGCAACTGTTTGGTGGTTTTTTTTATGGGGAGAAGCAAAAAGGAAAACTCTACCTCAGTGAAATCATGTTCCTTCAAGCACTTACGAAAGACTCTACGAGTCCTTTAAACAACACGTAAAAGCTAGGAATGCCCATAAATTGTCTGTAGGAATAGGGTCTTATGTGATAATAGTATTTCTTCTAAAATCAGCAAGTCAGAAACTAGTTGAAAGAGCAAATTTTTATTGCTGAATTATTGACCATCTCTAAAGATGACTGCATTAGCAAAATCAGCCTGAGGGGTGGTATTTGAATTTCATAGAATGTTGTGATTGTAATAAATAGGATGATGTAACCATACTATCTCATTTACTGAGTCATTCCTGAAATGTTTTCACAAGTAAAATATCAACAGAGAGAAATATTTGAAATACAGATATTTCCCTATACACTATACAGATTTTTCTTCTTCAGAAAAATATAATCCTAAATTAAAGATTAGTCCACTTTATGAAATTTTGAAAAGATGAGGAATAATTTTGCTTTATGTTGCATATATTCTATACATTCATAGAAAGCAAATAAAAATTTGAAACTTTCAAGGCTCAAAGGGAAAATGTAGACAGGAGATTTTGCACTTTCTATGTGCATTTTGATGAACAAAGGAAGGACATACTATTTTTGTCTTCATGTTTTTGAAATGTTTTGGAGGAGTAAATAAGATAATGTATATAGACATCTTGCTGGTCAGCAGTAATGATTGCATGAAGGTTGTCATGTGCATTCTTTATTAAGAATAAAGAGGACGTTATTTTCCTGGTCCATGGTTCACCTTTAGACCTGGAAATGGATTTAAAAAACCTGCTTGAAATGATGAATTTAGGAACTCTGACATATGAATCATAAGATTACAGGAAGCTCTAAAATATAATTTTTATTTTTGCTAAGGAGTGGTACAAGAAAGTGCCAAAGATTTGTTGTTCACTTTGAAGCAGAAGGAATCTGCTTCAATTTACTGACAAATCAATAGTTGAGGGTTTGTTTTGGAAGTCTTTGTGAGGTGGTGTGGGTGGTTTACCCAGTCCTAGAGCTGAAAGGTTCATAAGCTAATCAGAACATTAATATTTCATTAAGAAGATGTAGCTATGTCTTGTGGTCATTAAGGAATATCAGTGTGATTCTTCATAAGACTTTAAAGTGTGCAGTACTTGGGTGAGCTTGCTGATGAAATCTGTGGAGAATGTGCCAGTTGAGTGGTGTGTAAGCTTGAGTGTGGAACATGAGCATTTTTATTAAGGAGCAGGGAGAACTATTGAGAAGTGTAAGTTCAGTTAAAGAACACACACAGAGGGAGAATAAAAACTTTGCAAGAAAAACATGCTCATACTTGTTATTACTGGGTGTTTCTGATGCAGGGCTCATTGATCTTGGAATGTAGTCACAGCTTGAACTGACAAAAATAGAAGGAGATCAGTAGAAAGGTGTGTTTTTAGCATCTCCTGTGTTAAAGAGAAAATGAAAACATTAATTTACTTTTCACTGGAATATATGACCCATGTGAAGTCTTTAGCTTTTTTTCTCATTCCTGTAGTTGAATGATATAGTATCTTTTCCACATTAATATTGTTTTCCCATTTTTTAGAAAGATTATTGCAGTTATTACATCCATTTTTTTGTTAAATGTTTGCAATTATTGCATCTACTTTTTGTTAAATGCTTTTCTTGATGTCAGAAAATGCTTATTTCCCTTTTACCTGGGAAATCATGAAAATAATGAGATATTGCATTTTGATTAGCAAATGTATTAATAGAACAATTAATTACCAGTAGCAGTTTACTTCGTAAAAAAATTAAAGAATTGATGTGTTTGAACATAAAAAAAATCCAAGTTAAAACAGAATGGCAGTCTCAGTAGCCTGGACAGATGTAGTGAGAGACTCCAGAGGAAAACAGTGTTGTAATTGCTCATCATTCTCACAAATCACAGGTGGGTGAGCCCAAGGAATGAGTCACGGGGGCCACCTGCATCAGTATTGCTTGTTATAGAGAGGCAGGCAGCAAAAAATGAGGAGTACAGTGAGAATTGGATGACTCAGGGGACTAATAACAGGCATTTCATCTGTCATTAGTTTTGATCTTTTCCAGTTGAGTAATGAGTTGTTAACATCTGATGACTTCTCAGTGCTGCATGTGAAATTGCTTGATTGGTTTATCCACTTCAGGACTGGAGATTACCAACCTGAAGCACAAAATGAAATAGAAACCTCTACTACGTGGTTTGACAAGAAGCAAAAGCCACAAGGCATAACACTTTGATCATCTGGTGCCTTTGGAGCAAAGTAATATTGCATTATAGGTAAATAAAAGGATTTTGGATTTTCTGTTTTTGAGAGATTTTTGGGAGTAAATGAACCATTTTGGAGAATTTAGGATTCCCAGATCCCAAGTCTTGGATTTTATAGACCTTGTTTTTATTTTCAGTGTCTCTCATGCTGGGTTGATGACAGGTTCCTACTTTCTTGTTCTATCCATTTCTTCATCTCTCTTTTCTTGCACTGTCCTAAATTGTGAATTAATAGTAGAGTCATTGCTGATTTCTTTGTGCCAAATGAGTCTCTTGTTACTTGCAAACCAAGTCTTCAGTGTTAAAACTGCAAGCTCACTGCCTTGATGAGGTTCCACTCTTAGTGAAATGCTTTGTTGAAAAGCTTGCTATCAGTTCATTAAGGACAAAAGCTGGATCACTCCCTCTCCTGTGCCCTCTTAGATGGGCAGTTTAGAGCAGGGACTTGCCATGTTTAGAGTTTCACTTTTCAAAGCAGAATTTTGAGGAAAAAAGAGTTAATAAACCTCTATTCCCAAATGAATAGTTTGTCTGAAGTTATATCACCAGTCTCTTATATTTGTAATTTTTTCAGAGTGACTGATTTGCGTTCAAATGTTCATAATCTTTTGGGAGTGGATATTTTTGTTCATGATTTTTAGCATCATGAGTAGAAGAGATTGACTAAGTGGAGCCAAAGATTGGACACACAGTCATTTCCAAGTATTGACATAATTAAATGATTAATGAGTGATGGTTTGTATACTTTACAGAAAACCACAGTGGATATTTGAGTGCTGCCTGCAACCCTTCACCTTCTGTTTCTGTTTGTTTGCCTCTCTTGGCCTTATGACTGGGATGGTTACTGAGGGTGATCTTAAGCTGCTTAAAACTTTACAGAACTTTTGTATCTTAGAGAAAATCAGGATTGTGAGAGCTCTGCCAGTGGGAAGTGCAGAATGAACAAGCTGTGGTGGG